TATGATATTTTAATAGAAAAACGTCCAATGTGCAACGAAATTTTAATACATACAGTTATACATTTTTGTTGTTAAATTTTTAATTGTGGTTCGCCCCCCTAATTTTTTTTCGTTTTATAATTTTTTTTTTTTAATTTTAAAGCTTACTAACCAAGTTTACAACTTTCTTGTTATTTTTTCTAAACTAGTACAACTGAGCCTAAGCAAGTCAACCAAACATAAATTGAATAGCAAAATATAATTAAATAAAATTATCAAAAGCAAAAGCAAGAGAAAATAATCAAAGTACAAGTCGTCCAAACCCAATCACTTGCCTTCCCACAATACCACCACAAAAGAATCCGAAACTCATACCAAACAAAAAAAATCAGCATAGAAAATCTTTAGACATTGAGGCACAAAAGACAAGAAAAAGCTCAAAGCTTATACCGCCAAAAAGTTGCAAATTGTTGCTGTTTTTAATGATTTGAGGTTGATTTAATAGATTCATGCCGCACGGCACGCCCAAACGGGTCTAGATAGAAGGCAGGTGAATTTAATTGAGAGATTGTAATTAAACTATTTACACAAGAGCAACTCTTTCAGAGAAATGGAAAGGGCTGGCAAACAATGAAAACTTTTATATTTTGTTGCTAGTTTTGAGCGTAAATTAAATAAAAGTTTATAAGGTAAACCCAACTCAGCATAACATATATTCATAATACAGGTGAGCTTCAAGGGCTTCAAAGGCAAGTTGAAAGTCAGCGGCAATCGAAGCTTTAGCATAGCAACAAGAAATCAAAAAGGTGATAATATATAAGGAGGCGAAAAGCCTGCCCTGTCTGTACTCCAAATCAAATTCATGCGTGTCTGCGCGGAAAAGGAGCAGAATGCAAAGGTTGTTAAATTGAAATTAAGTATTAATATTTACAAAGCACAACGGCAACAGCCCGTTAAAAAGCAACATATCAAAAGGGCAACTAGTTTATTGTACCAGCAAGTGAAGGTAAAAGCAATCCAATAAATATAAAAATACAAACATTACTTGGTGCGGGACTTAATTGTGTATTTCTGCTCTCGTTTGTTTTTTTAAATCAGTCGGGTGTTATTTATTAATTGAGAGAAGACAGTAGTCAATTGTAGCAGGTTAGATTAATCACGATTTATACATACATGCAAACCTAAATACATACATACATATTAAGCAAACGGATGTCAATCAGTCTAGTTGTGTCTACAGTTCCCCTGATAAGCGTTTTATTAGTGGAAGTGAATTTTTCTTAGCATATTTCTAGGCTTAAGCAGCGGTCGCAATTTTCGATGCACATCGAGTGCCGCCACTTGACAAGAGTACGCGTTTTGACAATCAACAAAAATTAGCGTATACTTAGGCGACTACAATACAGCAGCATTCCAAATACAGGCAGGCAGCAATCTAGAGTAGAGCTACACTATACAAAGTAATAGTACATATATATATATATATATATATATATAGATATATATATAGATATAACTGTAAACTCTAAAATATATTTATACTGGATTTTTACGCCACTTTTGCTAGCACTTTACAACACTCTAAAAGTCTCAAAGTCTCTCAAACGAACCTCACTCTGCGACAATCTTTGCAAAATCAAAACAAAACATAAAAACAATTATTCTCAACTCTGAAGCTTGATCAATCAAATCTAATACAATCTCAAAACGGTTTTCAAAACTTTTACCTACCTACCTACATACTTTACTACCTACACACATACATATATTTATATATAGATACATACATACATACATATATAAATAAATGTCTAATTAATTAAATTCAGTAGTGATATATCATCTAAGCCTACAAAATAGCTCATTAGAGCGCCACTAAGTTAGACAATCTACATGTTTCAATCATAGCAGGCACAATCCTTTTTAACTACGCTCAAATACTTACATATATACATATAAATATTACTTAAATAAATAACTTTGTATTGGAATTGGAACCAAACTACTACTACCACCTATTTGTAATCTAACGTAAAGTTTTTTGAACAACTCACCGCTAGTAGCAACAATTTGTGTAAATCTTTTGAACGGCTTCTATACATAAGCACTCACAACTAATTGGAATACTAACTGAAACACCATAACACACAGATCTGTGACAGTGAACAGGGCTCATCAATCAGTACACACATAAAACTCGATCCCAAACCAACACCCGAGCAAGTCCCTTATTAAGCGAATACCAAAAACCAACCGCCGAATAAATTACGCGTTGCAACGCTTAAAAATCAATCGACAGCAAATTAAAAAAAAAATACGAAAAAAAAAATAAATATATATATATACGTATATATTGAAATTGAAAGAAGCGACGAAAACAAAGACGCAATCGAATTCAAATCCAGTACAACCTCGCAAGAATCGCGGTCCGACGCAAACGAAAAGTGCACCACATAGAAATTTTTAACCAGCATTTGTTGCCATTAAAACTGTCATCATTGCCGCGTTAACAGAAACCACGGCGTCAGCAGCGATTGCAGCGCTCAGTATCAGCAGCAGCAGCAGCAGCAGCAATCAGACAACTGCAACTGCAGCTGCAGCGCCAACAGCAGTCGCCGTCGCAGCAACCACGCCGCCGCCGATAACGATAAAGACCGAAATCGTCGCATCAGATTCAACAGCCGAGTCCTCCCCTTTACAAGATCTAATTATGGTAAGCGCCGCTCACAGCACACCCTAGCAACAAAAGCTCAGAAACTCAAAAAACTGCACTTAACAAATAATAACGAAAATAATCGAAAGTCGAAAATTGAAAGTTGAGAGACTGTTGTTGAGAATTCATGTTTCGTTTTTGTTAAACGAATCCAAATAAGCAATTATTTCATACCATCGAATGAACCTATAACACACATAAAAGAAAGTTGTACAGCTTACTATGCAAAGTATTTGATTTATTTTTGTTTAATCTACCGTTATCATCTACTTAACTACTTAACTATACACTTTTCAACCTCAGCTCAAATGCAAAACTATTTCACAAGCTGACAATCAGGCGAGCTAAAAATACATATGCAATCGAAATTCTATAAATTGATTTGATTGTGGCATGTTAATGGCTTGAACTCACAAATAATTAAGTTTACTTATTGATGATTTCTATTGTTTAATAATTACTTCAATACATTTATAAATATAGTCTATATACTCGTTTATACCGCGGGATGTGAAGTCTCTTCGCAATGGAAACAGATAAAGGCATCTTAATAAAATGCATTTAAGCTGTTGTAAAATTGTTTATGTTAAAAGGAGAAATGTTTATTTTCTGTCTCAAAGCATTAAGTTTTCGTTACAACGATTAAGCACATTACGTTATATGTATATATTTTTAGTAAAATATTCCATCCATTTACCTTAGTGTCCAGAATAGATCAGCAGAAAGCTATTGTCATACATTTATAGAGCTTTGGAAATATTCAAATTGTATGTTCGATTTAGATCAAATATGTGGTGTTTTTTTTTTAATAAATGGTTGCTTCATAATTCCTCTCTCATAAAAGCTCTGGCCCTTGCTGTTGTACAATTCGGCCAACCAATTTTTGCAGTTCTCCACAGAAAAAATGAATAATATAAATCACTATACGGACTAAAACACTTCCCCACCCAACTCTTGAGCTGTAATCATTTCCAAGATTTATCCGTAATCTTTGACGATGGGTCTATTTGAAATATTTAGCTGAGACAGTATCGGAGCCACAATAAAAATTGTCCACAATTTTAGGAGCATTTTCGCCTTTATCAATAAAAGTTGTAAAGGACTTCTTTTTTTAGGGGAATTCTGCATTTTCAATTAGACCAAGCTTGAGCAATGCTTTACGAATTCAATGGATTTACTATATATTTCCCATTTAATATTTTGATGCTGTGTTAGTCGAGATAGTTTTCAATCAATCAGTACAATCCAAATTATTCCAGATATAGCCTCATTTTGTTCTTATATTTTTAGTTAAGCGTGTTATGCAAATATATTTCGAGCCATATATACTTGTATGTTCTTATTTTATTTGTTAAGTTTTACTCCAGTTTTTTCTTTTGTGCGTTGTTTTAATTTCTGTTGTGACTTACGAGCCATTGACAATGAAATTAAATACAGTCCCAATAATAAGATGGTGATGGTTTGCTCGTTTCCCTCCGCACGAACTGGTCAAGGTTTTTCCGAATTCTTTTTCGCTTTGCCGTGTTCTTGGCGTGCAAACCACTCCCAATCACCACAAATGCTAGCCTGACTTCGGCTTTTCGAACTAACTACTTAACTACATTTCTAAGCCTCTCCAGCTATCTTTCTACCAATTATTTTTCATTCTATTCACTACTGTTCACTTTTGTCGCTACTCTTCTTGTCTGTCACTGTCACCGCTCCCATGTAGTTTTAACTTTTCACTTGTAGCGCTCGCTAAGCTCTGGAAACGCTGCTCTCCCATATACTTACTATACTTACTTACCTACTATACTACTCGAAAATAATTATTTTTAATACTTTTATTGCAACTACTCCATTTCACCTTGAACCACTTACCTCGTAGTCGTACGTTATATTTATAAGTATTTATATTTTTCGAGCGAGATGGGAGATATTTTTCTTTAGCTCTTTTGCGTTTTACGGCGAAACTTATTCAGGACGCACAGCAACAACGATAACAACGACATCAAGACGTAGAAAAAAAAAAAAAAAAAAAAAAACAGGATAAAAATCACAGCATAGTGCGCCCTCTTTTTCATTTCGTAGCCCCCCGTTTTTTGGTCTTTGTTTATTTATTAATCAATTTTTGGTGAGTTATACAAACGTTTCGTTTTGCATATTTGGCCAACAATCTGTTATTACTTGTGTACGCCACTATTATTCAATTATATCTATTTCGTGTGTTTCGATGACCGAAACAAAGAATCCAGAGCCAAACTCGAACGCGAATTCAAAGTTTCAAACAAAAATAATCTCAAAGCGAAAAACTTCACACCACGCACAGCAAATGCAATTGTTGCACGCCCCGCCGCCCACGCATCCGCACCATCTGCATCATCAGGTGGCAGCCGCGGCTATGCTGCAGCAGCAAACGAACGCGAGTGTCAACGCCGTCGCCCTCCAGCAGCAGCAGCAGCAGCAACAACACCAGCAAGCACAGCATCAGCTACAACAACAACAACAGCAGCAGATACAATTGCAGCAGCAGCTCCAACTGCAGCAGCAGCAGCAGCAACAACAACATCTCCAACTGCAGCAGCAGCAGCAGCAGTTCCACTACCACCAGCAGCACCAACAGGCACAGGCTCAGGCGCAGGCCATGCTGCAGACCTACATGCAGTTGCAGGTGAACAATGTGGCGGCCGCTGCGGCCGCCGCAGCCGGCGCTCCGGCCACACCGACCAAGTATGCGGCGGCCGCGAGTGGACCGGCGAGCGCCGCCCAATTCTTCACTGCACCCACCACGCCGCTCACGATCATTCCGACATGCAACGGCGCCGCTGCAGTGGCTGCCGCGGCTATGTTCGCAACAGCTGCTACGCCCACTTCTGCAGCGACCACACCGACCAACAATGTAAATAATACAGTTAATCTATCAGCCGTAACTAGAACTGCTACCAAATCTACCAAAACTACCAAATCTACTACCACCACCATAACCACCTCTACCACTCAGCAGCGCAATGCGGCTGCCGCCGGCGGTGCTGGTGCTGGAGGCTATCGGGGTCTTCTGCTGGCCAGCGGGTATGTGGGCCGTGGGCAGCTGGCGTCGCTGCTCGGCTCGCCACCGCCTACCACGACGTACCTCGCCGCCACCATGGTCAGCACCAGCGCCGTCGGCAGCAGCGGCAGTAGCGGCTGCAGCTCTTCTGCATCTTCCGATTGTTCTATGCCATCGCCAACTTCTCTACACTTATCTTCTCCTAAAAAGGTTTGTGTCTTCACTAAAACGCTAAAACAAAATTCTAAAAATCTCAAAACGATTACAACAACTGATCTTTCATTTCTCAATTTTCCAAACTCAATTTTAATCTGTCATGTATGAACGCTTTTATAATTTCTAATTCTATTCCTAATTATTTTTTCTTCATATACAGCAGTAGTAGTGTAGATCGAATCTGGCTAATTTTCTTTCTTGCTCTTCTGCTTTCTATACACCCGCACACACACACACACACACACACACACACACACAAACACATTCTTGGTCTTGCTATAATTATCACTTCTTTATCTTCCACCCCCTCCTTCCCCACACACTTTTCTCGCACTTTGTGTCTAATTCATTTGTTGCTGTTGTTATTGTTGTTGTACCTTAGACTAGTCGCTGTTGTAATTGTTGCTATAACTGTCGTTGTATGGAGCATGCTTAGATATGTAGATAGCCCCTAGATTGAAAATTTTGTTCGTTTCGCATACACATAATTGATACGTAACGCTCCAAACGAGTTAAGTTAGTTATAAGCCAATAAAATATAGTAGTTATGAAAATGCCGACCATTTATTGGCAGCAGCAGCAATTTACATAATTGTATCACTAAATTCAAAAATTGCTATAATTAATAAGTAGAAATAGTAGAAAATATCGCGAACAGTCTGCGGTCAGTCCGCAGGCGTCCTAGCTCTGTATTGCGTTTTGTTTACTTTCCCATCCATCCATCATCGGTCGTCGTATTGACTAACGACTTGACTATTGTTTGCACTGCTCTGATGGCCCTGTTGTTGCACAACTAACAATCTTTGGCCCACATGTTAGCGAGGCGTGCAAAAGTCCTGCGACCACAGCCAACAACACAACAGGGCTGCGAACAACGACATATTGGCGACAATTAAAGTGCAATTAAAGTTGAATATGTAAACAGTAAATTATTCTATTTGCCTTGTTATAACTTGATTTTTGCAGCCTTCACTCGATTTAATACCAGATTTCATTTTCTATTTCTTGTTGTTGTTATAATTGTGAGTGTGTGTTTGTGTGTGTCTGTGTGTGTCTGTGTGTGTGGGCTGAGTGGAGTGCTGCTCCCCTTGTCCCTTCTCCTGGCTTTTTATGCCCACGTTTTGATGTCGGGTCCAAAGAGTCAATTGTGCGTAATAAAATAATGTGCAACCGCCTGACCATGCGAGTGGCATACTGATGAGTAACTTTGCTTTCCACTTCCACTTATTTATGGGATAGTCCTTTTTTGAATTTGGTGCCAGCGTGCGGTGGAGGCATGCGGTTGTCAGTTTTTAAGTGGTCCTCATAAAGAGTTTATCAGACGCAGAGATGTGACTTCATGGAGCGGCCTTTGCGAAAATGAATGAGCTACATAATTGATAGTGCAACTATATCCTTGGCTATTTCTTGAATGTGATTTATCTGAGGTACTAAGTAATTGCGAGCTTACGTTTTAATATAACCCTTCTATTGAAGGATTTCATATATATATTCTTTCATGAATTGCTTATATTCAAATTTATTGGTTTGCGAATTTTTCAAATTCATTTGTGTCTGGTAATTACTAATAGCTTATCAATTTATTCTAAACGTATCTCACTCTGATTTCGAAATCATTTTAAAAAATCCCTGGGAGTATGTGAAAAACTCGTTAATTAAGCGAGCCTGCCTGCCCGAGTAGGCGACTCGTAAATTATTTTGTAAATAAAATGTCCAAAGGGAATAATCAATATGAAAATGTCGCTTTTGTTTATAAATGAATGCAATGAAGATTTTTGTAGCCTACATTTTGGGATCGGCATGAGGCCCGCAAATTGCTTGCGACAGATTCCAAATCGTTTAAAATAATAATAGGAGTAGTGTTCGTAGCTTTGTTGCCCCCACCAAAAATTTGCCACAAAAATGTTGCACTAAAACTTGTTGTCTCAAAGTTGCCTCTGCCTCAGGACACGTACTACTACTATACATATACGCCACAAAGGCGAACTTGCCAGTTAGTAGTCGGGTTTATTATTTTATCAGTCATAAATATCGCACATGCGAGCATTAACCGCAATTGTTTCGCATGCAGTCGGGCGCCTTGACGTGGCAAATGGTTCACCATATTGATTAGTTGGCGTTGAAAATGTCGCTGCTATTTGTTGCAGGCTGCACGTCGGAAAAGTTGTGTTGTTTGGAAGCCAAACGCGAAATAAAATAAAAGCCGAATAGGGTGTATTTTGTCGACAACTGCTCGACCGCTGGGCAGAACGCAATGTTTTTAGTCGTATAGTATATTTCCCCAGTTGTGGCTGTTGGTCGAACAATGCCATTCCATGTGTGTTTTTCTCTGTTTCTTGTTCTAACACCCGACGCGGCGAATGTGTCAGCAATCGCGACTATTTGCTCACATTTTTTTTATGACTGTCCTGCGCATTTATTATCGATTTACCGTTTGTGTCTGCGTTTGCCTGCCACATGTGCTGTGCTGTGCAGTGCAGACAAGCGACGAGTTCGCGGGACTATTTTATGGTTTGTCATCGGGCCGTTCGCTTGGTGCCCGGTCAGCGGATTCGACGTCGTTCGACGTTCACGTCTGTCGCAATTACGGGCGTCGTTAAAGTTTAAACTGCACTTAAATGACTCTATTATGAGCTCGCCGCGCGGCCCTCAACTCCATCGGCTTCTGTCCTGTCCGAGGCGTGTTAAATTATCTGTAATTGATTTTGTTTATCATACGCGGCCGGCCCCCTACGAGTGTTTGTCTGTGCGCCTCCTCTGTTAAAACATTTGGGCGCACTTTTTAATGTTTATTTTATTTCATCAAATTACACTTTGCTAATGTTATTAAATGTGCAGCACATTGGGTCGGACATGAAAATATTTTGTTATTATACAACATTTTTAACATGAGCGTGTAATTGGCGCTGTTGTAGTAGTTGCTGTTGCTGTAGTTGTTGTTGTTGTTGTTGTTAGTACTGTTGCAATGTTCGATATGTGTGCGAATAGTTGGGAGAGCGATTCAGCATGCATTGAATTATTTTCAGATTGTTGTTTATGTTAAACAAACACAGAACAATGCGTCGTGTTGCCAAATGTTTCGCATAATTTGACCGTGAACCGTTCATGTTCTGTTTTTGCCTCGGTTCTGGACGAATAGCCCAGGTCTGGGCCATTACTGCGGCCTGTGACGAACATTTAATGTGCAAATATTTTTGCCAACAATGCGGAAAGCAAAAATGCCTGAGCAAATACAAATACAAATGAAAATGAGCTTAATACTATTGCTGACAATGCGCAGCAGCCGCAGCAACAATGCAAAGTGCCAGGCAAACAGGCCTGAGGTGTTAATAAACCTGCCGAGGCACACACACATAGACAGCGGGAGAGGGAGAGAGAGAGAGACACTTGCTTACACCCACGATTGTTTGCATGTGGCAAGTGCGTGTGTGTGTGTGTGTGCGTGTGTGTGTGCAGTCACAAAGCATGACAGAATATAACATGAAAGCGCCCACGCACGCACACAGCTGTAAGCAAATAGAAATTTGTGTACAACGCACATTTTAATATATTTTACAGAAACAACAACAACATCAACAACAAAAAAGAAAAGAACGAAGCCTAGATTTACTGTGTGGCTGCGCTTGCAAAACACAAAATGAAATGTGGACACTCGACAACTGAAAGCCGCCAATTCAAATAAACATATTAAATTGTGAATTAGATATGATAAAAGCACAAATACACACACGCACAGCGCAATCGAAATAGGGGCGGAGGAAACAATTCCAGAGTGTCAAAGTAGCTGGCTCTTTGAAGTGTGGCCAGTGGTTGCTTTTAATAAGCGTTGGGCAAGTTGGAGGTGCGGGTGAGGGTGAGGGTGTGGCTGGGGATATACTACACAACAAGCCCTATGTTCTGCCCTAATAAACTTTTCAAATTTAAAAATTCATCAAACTTTCATTCGCCACCGCGCCAGACAAACAAACGGCTTCAGCTTTGGCTTCGGGGTCAGCAAAAGCAGAGCACGACCCATGAGCTAAACAAAAAAGTACATAAACATAAAATACATAAATAAAAAAAATCACATTAATCCGTAATCGAAAAACTTGAAGTTGCTGCACACCAGACAGCAGACCATACCAGCGCAAACTTGCGCTCGCCCCGACGCGTCGTCACTTCAAAATTTATGAAAACGTTCGCCGCGTTTTCTAATAAGCGATTTACAAGCAAAGTGTTTTTAAACTAAAATTTCAATTATTTTGTGCGTGGAGCAATAAAAACAATTTGAAATTTAAATGCACTTAGGCGCTGCCATAGCTGTTGCTGTTGCCCAAAAAAGTATGCTATGCAATGGCTATAAACTTAGCTTAGATGGCAATATGTCAGCGTCGATCACGGTCGGATGGTGACGGCAAGGGCGAGTGTCAAAAATGTGGATGCTTGCGTCTGTGCCCCCTGTTGCCTGTTCTCTTTCTCTCTCTCCCTGGTTGTCTGTCTGTCTTTCTGTCGTCCTGTCCGTTCGTCTGCTAACAACAAGAACATCAAATTGAGATGAGAAAATAAAATTCAATAAACTCTTGTTAAGCACGCAACGGCTGAGGCAGCTGCCGTGGGCAGCAGCTGCGCACGCAGCAAAAACAACAACAGCAACAACTTTAGCATTCTGTTCCAGTCTAACAAGGACAACGTTTTAAATATTGACAGCTAAGCGTACGCACGACAAGCTACAACACAACAAAAACTACAACACATCAAGCCAAGCCATTCATTGTTAGCGATGCGCCCCCAAATCTCTCCCCAAGACATTGTCGATTAAATAGATAAATCAACCCTAGAGACATGTACACCAAATACTTTTTGCATTGATCAAAAGCAAAGGGTCTGAGGGGTCTACGAGTAAGCGGTCGAGGGGCCGCGCACGGCTGTAATGGGCCGTGGTGGCGGCTCAAGGCTTCTGAGTAGGTAGGGCATTGTTATGATTTCAGAAGCAGCAGCAGGGACAGAGGCCCAAT